GCTGAGGCCCATGCGGCTGTTCGCCGATCCGTCTTTGTGCCACCTCCGTTAGGGAGTAGGGGCGGACACCGGGCACAGGGTGCCAGTCCCGGGCAAGTGGCTGCCATGAGTCTCAGCAGCCAGAGAACCGGGCCACCCTCAGAGGGTGTTGGCGTGCCTAGGCCGGCCCCACCAGCCCACCCGCTCGCTCGAGCCAGGTTGCTCCTGTGAGATAAGCCGTTGAGTGAGTTTCTTTTATTTGAAAGCAGAGGTTGCCCCTGATTCTGATGCTAATAAAACGGAAAGACTGTGTGTGATCAACTAAGGTAGGTCCGTGGCCCTCGCGGGGCTAACAGCAGCTGCAGGGCAGGGGCGGAGCTTGCTGTCCAAACGCCTCTGGGACACTAACCTGGCTTTTCTCCGGCCGCCCGGTGCCTCGCCTCTCCCATGCCGCTGGTGGTGGGCTCCCCGTCCTATCCTCTCCCTCTCTGCAGGTCACCTGCTCACCCAGTGTCTCCCCTGGGCAAAAGGCAACATCAGCGCTGGCTCTGGGCATGTGGGCCCCGAGAGAGCGGGTGGCAGGGCCAGTGGCTCCCTCAGCGAGCAGGATCCGGAGGCCCCAGGGCAAGGGTGGGACCGCCTGCCTGGCAGGACAGGCTGAGGTGGCTCCTGTCTGGTGTCCTGGCCCTCACTGCAGTGCCTGCTGTCTGTCGGTGGAGTTCGCTCTGAGTGTGTCAGTGCAGGGGGCCCTCCTGGGGCATGTCCCCAGTAGTCTGTGAGGAGACAGGGAGGGTCCCAGGAGTAGACGCTGCCAGGGACAAGCACACTGCAACCCCTGCTGTTGGACGGGGGTGTCCTGCCCTGAGGCCGTGGGTGGGACTGTGGAATGCAGGTTACTCCCAGCACACCCTGCGTCCTCTGGGAGGGCCCCCGCCGAAGGTCAGCCAGCCACCATCCACAGGGCTGGAGAGGTCACTGCATTCAGCTAGATAGACCGGCTGTGCTGGGTGGAGGAGGAAGCAGAGCAGAGAACCAGAAGGTCCAGCCTGGCCAATTGTGAGCTCTGTGAGCCCAGGTCGTGGGGCCTCCAGCACCTCCAGCCCGGCTCAGAGAGAGCCCAGTGTCCGTGCCCTGCGGATATGCTAGGCCTGGGGCTGGGGCTAGGCTCAAGGTGCACACCCAAGGTCTGCTGGTGCCGTCAGAGCCCAGAGCGGCCAGGAGCCCAGAGAAGCTTCTCTGGACATTTGTCCTCGCTGCTGGGGCACAGCCTGCACCCTGGGTTCCAGGTTTTACTTCCAGGCTCATCTTCCAAGTGTGGCCCTCTGGTGTGAAACACCCACATGTATTTTTTAGAGAGGTGCTGCCCTGGGTGCAAGGAGCGGGGGAGCATGTGGGCCTGGGGCCGGCAGCCACGCGTGACAGTGCTTCAGTGGAAGGTGGACGTGCCCGGCGCCGGCTCCACGCCCCACCCAGTTCCCTCCTGGATCTGCTGCACGTGCTCGGCATTCACCCACCCCAGCTCCTGCCACGAGGGCAGCTGAGGGCGGGAGGAAGGAATTCTGCCCTTTTCTCCCCAACTTTTTAGTTTTTATTTTTGTTTTATTTTTGAGGCAGCCTGTCAGTCTGTCGCCCAGGCTACAGCGGCATGATCTTGGCTCACTGCAGCCTCCACCTCCGCAGTTCAACGGCATGATCTTGGCTCACTGCAGCCTCCACCTCCGCAGTTCAGCGGCATGATCTTGGCTCACTGCAGCCTCCACCTCCGCAGTTCAGCGGCATGATCTTGGCTCACTGCAGCCTCCACCTCCGCAGTTCAGCGGCATGATCTTGGCTCACTGCAGCCTCCACCTCCGCAGTTCAGCGGCATGATCTTGGCTCACTGCAGCCTCCACCTCCGCAGTTCAAGTGCTTCTCCTGCCTCAGCCTCCTCAGTAGCTGGGACTACAGGCCACTAAGCCTAGCTAAATTTTTTTTTTTTTTTTTTGTATTTTGAGTAGAGACTGGGTTACCATGTTGGTCAAGATGGTCTCGAACTCCTAAGCTCAGCTGATCCACCCACCTCGGCCTCCCAAAGTGGTGGGATTACAGGTGTGAGCCACCAGGCCTGGCCTCTATTTTTTTTTTTTTTTTTTTTTTCCAGAGTCTCACTGTCATCCAGGCTGGAGTGCAGGGGTGCAGTCTCAGCTCACTGCAACCTCCACTTTCTGGGTTCAAGTGATTCTCGTTTCTGAGTAGCCCCCTCCCGAGTAGCTCGGACTACAGGAGCACCACCACGCCTGGCTAATTTTTGTATTTTTAGTAACAACATGGTTTCCTCATGTTGGCCAGGCTGGTCTCAAACTCCTGACCTCAGCTGATCCACCGGCCTCAGCTTCCCAAGCTGCTGGATTACAGGCGTGAACCACTGCGCCGGGCCCCCAACTTTTTATTTAGAAAATCTTCAACACCACAGGAAATTTCATAGAGATCAGAATGACGAACACCTTCTCCCCAAAATTGCAAACATTTGCCAAAAATACCAAAATTGTGACCATTTTGCTACATTGCCCCCCTCCGACTGAGCCACTTGAGAGTCGGTTACAAACATGACGGCAGTAGACCCCTACACTGGCCCACAGACACCTCCTGGGAGCACAGCACCCTCCCCGGTCGCACTGGGCAGGGCGGGCTCCACCGGCATCTGACGTCCACATGCTTTTACGATTCGGTCGCAGTAATTCCTTTTCGAGTTGTTGCTCTGTCGTTTTCTGCAAATGAGATGCTATCTAGAATCACAGGCTGTGTCTGCTTGTCATGTCGCTTCAGTCTTTTTTGTTCTAGAACATTCCTGCCCCTTTTTGTCTCGTATGACACTGGCATTCTGGAAGACACCTTCACTTTGGGTTTGCCTGATTGCTCCCCCCAAGTTGGACCAGGTTGAGTTCTGGGGCAGGAGTTCGACCCCAAGGGATGCCATGTCCTCCCCAGCTGGGTGGGGCCGTTCATGGCAGCAGCACTGACCGCGGCTGAACCTGCCACCACGTGAGCACTGCACTCCTGTGCTCAGTAAGCCCTGCGGTGACCCGTGGGACAAGCCGCTGCAGCCCGATTCTGTGTTCGCGGCGCCTCCTCTGAGGGTTCCCCTTTCCCCTGCCCTTTTGTGAGTTTGGACGTGCAGTATCCATCACTGTCACTGCCATGCATTTGATGGGACCAGCGGGGGCCCCGGACCCACAGCCCCTGAGCTCTTTCCATCTTTGGCAAAAGCCCGTGCTCCCAGCTCACCCTGGGCTTGCTGACCCCCCCACTCCGGCCTAGGCCTTGGTCTTGGCCATTTCTCCGGGTTCCCTGAGTGGGGGATGATGTTGAAATCCCTCTCTGAGGGATCGTTTTGGATAGTTTTTGGTTTCTTGCTCTGTCTCTTTAGACCAGTGGTTCCCAAACCCCACCTGCCCTGTCCCACTGGGAAGTCGGGACACCTCCTGGCACTGGGGTGGCAGTGGAGGTGGGCAGTCAGACAAGGGCCAAGTGACGGAAGAGGGTGTTGAGGGCAGGAGACCTGTGGGGCCATCTGGGAGCTGTGGGGGCAGGGCTGAGCGCCCTCAGCAGCCCACTGGAGAAAGCACGCCTGGGGTCCTCGTGTGGGGCCCAGGGCCCAATGTGGAGGCGATGGAGGGCTCCAGGTGGTGGCAGTGGGGAGTAATGAGTATAGACAGTGTGCAGCGTTGGACTGAGACATGGGATGGAGGGACATGCCACTGAGACTCCCCATCTCAGCAGAAATGAGACAGGCTTAGGGTGCCACGCCTTGCCAAAACCCAGCCTGGCCAGGCCGTCCCGGCACCTTCCACTCAGATAAGTTGTGCTGCTCCAGAGAAGGAGCCTGGGGTCAGAGTAGACCTGAGATGCATGGCACAACCCTCTGGACAGTGGTGATGAAGGGTTCAGGGACCTGAGGACCCAGCAGCGGGCACCTGGTGTTGTACCCAGCAGAGCTGCTCCTAATAATGTCGTTTCTCCTCTCTCCTTATAGGCCTCAGGCCCAGGCCCAAGGCCAAGTGAGAGAGCCCTGACCAGGCCGCTGGACATGCTGCCATTCTGCTGAGAGAGGCTCTTCTGGGGCTGGGCTGGGACTGGGCCCCGGAAACCAAACTCCGTGCCTTACCCAGCCGGGGCCATCCTGGACCTTCTTGGGGTGTTGTGGCTGGGACCCCGACAGGTACCCGTGTCCCACCAGGCCTGGTGCCCTCCTGGACCGCCTGCACGTGCCAGCCTCCCACTTGCTTCCTAAAGGCGACCCTGGCCCACACCCGCATGCGCCCGGTGCTGCCTGCCCAGGGCCAGTGGGGGGCTGCACCCCACCAGTGCCCGCCACAGCCCTGCCTGCCCTACAGCCCAGTGGGTTTAATTAAAATGCAATGCTTTGTGAAGCTTTAAAGCTCAGAGGTGGCCGAGTTGGGGGCCCTGGGCAGGGGCAGGCTGGCAGGCCAGGGTCCCTTCCCGTGAGGTCTGGCCCCATCCCAGCATGTCCAGCCCCTGAAGTTGGGGGAGGGGTATCTGCCTTTGCTGCCACTGCCAGGCCAATGCCCTGCAGCTGAGACTTGGCCGCACATCAACAGAAAACCCCTCCCAGTGCCCCTGGGGTGGGTGGGCCCTGGGGGCAATACAGGTCCCACCTGAGGGGCCTGCAGCCACCGCCCCATCACTGCCCACTCAGCAAGGGCAGCCTGCCCAAGCCTGCCCCTTGCCAGTTGTGTGCCCTGAGGCTGGTGGCTAGACACGTGGCCAATAAAAAGCAGATGTAGCCCCATGTGCACCTGTGGTTTTAAGAGGCTGTCGGGGTGGGCGGCAGACGCAGGCTCCCACAGACATGGTGGGCACTGGTCAGGCCCCGTGTGAGCATTCACGGCCGAGGGTCCCCAGATCACGTGTGAGCATTCACGGCTGAGGGTACCCCAGGCTAGGGGTTGTCCCTCAAGCCCTCAGGAGGTAGTGAGAAGCATCTAGAACAGGCAGACCCAATGAACAGCACCCAACAGTGGTGAGATGGGTGCAGCTCTACAGGAGTGTAATTTACAAACCGCCAGACTCGCCGTTCAGTGTGTGCTGTGATGGCATTTGCTTTCCAGCAGGTCAGGGTTGTGCAATGACCCACCTTTATGCTCCCTCCATCACCCCAAGAAGTCCTCTCGAAACCCATCAGTCCCCCCCTCTCCCCGAGCTCCTCCCCAGCCCTGGCAGCCAGTGACCTAAGCTCCGGACACTCCTGATGTCACGCGTGTCTCCTGGTCCTTGGGCGTGTTCTCAGGCCCCATCCTCGCTGGAGGCTGCATCAGGCCCTCATTCCGTTTTGTGGCTGAAGCACGGTCCGTCGCATGCGTGGACCACATTTTGTTTGTCCACTCTTCTGTCCGTGGACATCTGTGTTGCTTCCGGTTTGGGGCTTTAGTGAATCCTGCTGCTGTGGCCATTCGCATAGTCTTCGCGTGGATGGAGTTTTCATTTCTCTGGGTAGAATCTAGCGGAGGAACAATTGGGCAACCTGCTAAGTTTATGTTTAACTTCTTAAGAAACTGCCAACCTGTTTTCCAAAGCAGCTGCGCCATTTTTATTCCCCTCCGTGCTATCGATTTTAAGTTAAATAGCAAAACACCTCCCCCACCCACCCCAACAGATCTGCCAGTAACACGGGACTATGCAGTACTGGGTGAGGTCTCCTGAAGGGTCACCTGCAGCAAGTGAGGCCATGGCCCCTCCTGCCTGGAGAGGTGGGGCTGGGGACCCTGTGACAGGAGGAGGCGCTGCCTTTCCTGGAGCCTGGTTTTTCCTCTCTGTTTCATGAGAAGTCGGTTTAGTGGGCTTCAGCCAGCAAAGGAGCTGAAACAGAGTTCTGGGTGTGCCTTGCACAGTGAGGCTTCGTAGCTGCAAGGGTGTATGCAGGCAGCTGTGGGTGTGTGTGTCCTGGACCGCTGTGTTCGATGGTCCCACAGGGAGGTGTGGCCCCCAGAGAGTGGAAAGCACAGGTGGACAAGCCCATGTACCCTAGTTCTTGCTCAAGGGCACGCATTGAGACAGTGGGGGCCAGGTGGATGGCCCCAAGCTCCGTGGCTCCCGTGCTGCCCACCACCTGGGGACAGGCCCACTGTGGGGGTTGTGGGGTGGGGGTGTTCTAATTTGGGCTGGGCCGTGTGACTGGCAGGGTCCCCAGCTGTTGGGCCTGGGCAGGGCTGTTTTTAGAAAAGGCCCAACTCGCTGCCCCAACCAGACCCATAGCTATTTATAGTTGGGGCCTGGGGAAGACAGTGAGTCACTACCCTTTGCCTCTGCATGGTCAGTCCACGTCCCCTTGGTGGGGTGGGTGACCCTCCAGACTCCCAAGCCTCTATCAGACATCTGCTAGCCCAGAGCCGCAGGTGTCCCCAGGAAGGGCTCAGAGCTGGTGGCCCCCGCCAGGCCTTGGAAGCACCCCTTTGTCTGATGGGACTCTGTGGTTCCTGGTGGCATTTAATATTGTCAGTTTCTCTCAACTGGAAACAAACCTCCCGTGACCCTCTTGGTTTGTCCTGCTGCAGTCCACCTCTTCCCTACCTGCACAGCTAACGCTGTGCCCCAAATTCCCTCCTTGACACCCCCAGGCCCACTGCCCCACCCTCAGGTGCACCCCCTGTTCAGCAGGATCCAGGTTCTGCCAAACCTTGGAGCCCTCCAGCCCCTGCCCAAGCTGGGGGTGGGGGGTCTGTTCACTCCCACCGGCTGTCACCCCCAGGACGGCACTAGGAAGGTAGAGAATTGCAGTTTAGACATGAAGACTCTATTTCCTCCGAGGCCCCTGACTGCTTGGAACCCAGACAACGGCCTTTTCCCAGCAAGGATGCCGAGAGAGAGGAAGTGTCTGTGCCCAGTGGAAGAAGAGGGGTCTGGGGACATAAAAGCAGGGGGCGGGAGGCCAGGTTGTGAACAACCCCTCTCCCCCAGGCTGGGGCAGGTAGGCGCCGAGAGAGGAGGGGTGGGCAGCGGTGTGGGTGGGCAGCGGTGTCCTCGGCTGCACCTGAATCACTAACTCAGTGTGAACGACCTTTGCCCTGACAGGCCCAAGCTCCCCTCCCTTCCTCATGGGGAGTGTCCCATCTCCATGGGCTCCCTGTCACTGGCCTTGGAGTTGTCCCAAAGCCCCAGGAGCCTGGTGACTCCAGGCTGTTTGGCAACTGAGAACCCTCAGGGAGGGAGGTAAGGGCCCCATTCTCCTTTCTGATCCCAGGGCCCCAGGACCCTTCTCCTGGCCACCAGAGCTGGCTTCCTCCAAGCCTCATCCACTAGGGAGGGGTGGCACAGGGTGGGTGGGGCAGGTCAACCAGCAGGGAACAGCGGAGCCACGAATACCATCGCCTCCCTCTGGAGCCTAGTCCCTCCACAGGCTGGGACTGGGATGGGAAGGTGTGATGTGAGGCCTCTTGGGAACCTGGGCCCCACGCTGGTGCGCACCCCTGGGGGTTGCTCCCATGCCAGCCAGGTGAGGCTGACAGCATGGGTCCCTTTACCCCAGACTTGGGTGCTGAGGGCCGGAGCTCCATGCTGAAGCCCGCCTGCTCGCAACAGCCAGGACAGAGCCCCGGGCAGGACGCGGGGCCCCTGCCGTCTAGCCGAGATGCAGGCAGGTGCAGGGGACACTTCGTCCTCGGCCAGGACGCGCTGCGGGGGCTCTTCGCGGTCGGCAGGGGGCGCGCGCGCGCCCAGGGGACTCGGCGTTCCGCGCAGGGCAAGTGCGCGCCCCGAGAGCGCGGACTCTCCGGGTGGGGTGCAGGGCCGCGTTCCTGCTCTGGAGGGGCGCCCACCGCCGCGGTTGCTGGAACCCCTAAGTTCTGGGCCCGGCAGGGGCCTGGCGGGGTTTGGTCGCGCGCGGTTCACAAGCCCTGGCCCCGACGGGCCGGCGGGAAGCTGCCTCCGTTGGCAACTTCGTGGGGCGCCCCAGGCCCTCTGCCTGCCTGGCCGTCGGTCCGTGCGCCCCCTCGCCCCTGAAGAGCTCGGGCTCAACTTGACTTCCCGGGCAGCGGCCGTGGGGCGGGGATCTGGCGGCCGGAGGTCACCGGGACGTCACTGCGCCCGCCCCCGGCCCGCCCCCTGCCCCGGGCCCGCTCCATTTAATGGCGCGGACGCCGGCGGCGGCGGGCTCCCGGCCGGGCCAGCGCAGCGGAAGAGCCGAGCCGGCATGTCTGGGACCCGAGCCTCCAACGACCGGCCCCCCGGCGCGGGCGGCGTCAAGCGGGGGCGGCTGCAGCAGGAGGCGGCGGCGACCGGCTCCCGCGTGACGGTGGTGCTGGGCGCGCAGTGGGGGGACGAGGGCAAAGGCAAGGTGGTGGACCTGCTGGCCACGGACGCCGACATCATCAGCCGCTGCCAGGTGCGGGCTGGGGCGCCGGGTCCCTCCCCCACCCGCCCAGCGAGCCCCCTCCCCGGACCCAGACGGCCCCTGTCCTCCCATGCCCCCGCCGGTCACTCACCCGCTTGGATGCCTTCCCTCCGGGAGCACCTTTCCCAGGGCCACCCCACCCACCCACGCACGCGCACGCACCACCCACACAACCCCCGACCCACACACACCGCCCTCTCTCCACCCACCCCTCCCCCACCGCCCCGGCAGCGGGCCAGGGCTCAGCTATAAATACAAGTCGCTGAGTTGGGGACACCCGATCCTCTGGCGGCGTCACATGCCTTGGGAGTGACGCTGGACCCTCCATGGAGGGACCGGAGGACCCAGCCCCAGGGTGGTTTGAGGACCCCCAAGACACCCCCTTCCTCATTCTGCAGTGACCACCTGGGGCCTGTCTGGGTCTGGGACAGGGCTTGGCTGGCTCCCTGCAGGGTCGGGGGTGGTGGAGGGGTGAAAGCTGCCTGCTGGGTGGGGATGACCCCGGTGAGTCAGCCGAAGAGGCAGAGGTGGAAGGGGGCCAGGCCGTCCTGGGGGGCAACAGGGGCAGGGCCTGAGGGAGGGTGCTCGGAACGGTCCCAGCCAGACATGGGAGAGGGAGGGCCACAGACTTCTGGCCAGGGTGACCCGGTGGCTGGTGGGGCCACCAAGGAGGCCAGACCCACTTGTCCCCAGGGCCCAGGGCGGGGCCTCTGCCGGCTGCTCTCAGCGCCCCCATCTGTTCTGACTGAGCTGGACACTGGGCACTCTCGGGCCACCACCCTGGGGATGCATGCCCAGGGGCTGACTTACAGCTCCAGGCACAAAGGGGTCCGCTTTGGGAAGCACGCATCCGGGGGTCAGAGCCTGCCTGGGGCTGCTGCCAAAAATGGAGCAAGGGCCCCTGCAGCCCTTCTCCGGGTTCTGTGGCCTCCTTCCTGAGCTCCAGAGGGGAGGGCTGGGGCTTGCCATAATCCCTGTCAGAGAAGGGGGTCAACCCAGCACCCTGTGTGGCTCCGGGCTGTCTGAGCCCCTCCTGCCGGAAGGGACTATGGCTTCCTGGAACCGTGGGGGACCTCCCACTCTCGCTCTCCTCTCCTTCCTAAGCAGCAGGCAAGCTCATCCCTCTCTCCAGAGATCCCCCAGGTCCTAGAGATGGTCCCCAGACACCCCACCCCCCACTGCAACTCCCACCACCCTGCCTCTGCCCCGCCACCTGATCCCTGGCCGCCAGGGGGCGTGTCCCAAGCTCTACCGCTCTTCCCCCTCCAGGGCGCCCTCAGCATGGGGCAGCTTCCCTCCTCAGACCTCTTTGCCCCTGTGAGGCCCAGGCCCCTCCCTGTGAGCTGCCGGCTCTGGTGGGGCCATGCACTTCTGCAAGGTGGGCTGGGGCCCCCACAGCTGCTCTATGCAGGATTTATCCTGCTCCACTCCCAGCTGTGGAGATGATTCTAGATCCAGGCTCTCCCTGCTGTCCCCTGCCCTGTGTCCCCTGCCCTGTCCCCCGACAGCGGGCCAGACCCCGCTCGCTCCCAGCTGCAGAGGGGAGCCCATCTCGCACTCGGGCCGCCAGGTGCCCCCACCGGGCCACCCCGAAGCCTGAGGGAGCCCTTGGCTCTCCAAGTGAGTGGGAATAAAAGAGGCTTGTCCCTGGAGCTCCCCCTCCCCCTCCAGCCTCCTCACAAGCCAGTGAGCAGGATCATCCTGAAGAGCTCCTTCACAGAGGGAAAGCAGGCTCAGACGTGGAGGAATGAGAGTCACTGCCACATCTGGAGCCCTCACGGGTGCTGGATGCCCACCACGATAGCTCAGGGCCTGGCCCTTTGTCCCCACCCATGACCGAGCTGAATCTCAGCCGGGCACCGCTCTGCAGAGGCAAGGACAGGCCGTCTTCTTGGGGCCCCAGCCCCAGGCTCTGCAGGTGCTCAGTGACCCCGGCCTCACAGTGCCCATCTCTCCTCTCAGCAGTGGGCGCTCTCCCCACCACCAGGCTCCCAGCATCTCCCACTCTTGTGCACTCCATGTCTGATCACGCTGTGCCATCAGAGGCTGGCAGGTGAAGGTCTGGCTGGATGCCCCCAGGGAAGACCGCCTCTTTCTTACATGGTGTGTAGATGCCTAAAGCCAGACCAAGGGACCCGACATGGGGTCTCCAGGGGCACAGAGGCCAGACCTCACCCTGTCACTCAAGGGGCTGAGCAGAGGACAGAGTGAGGCCGAGTGGTCCAGGTGGGAAAATGCAGAGCAGGCTGGGAGCAGGTCTGGGAGGCAGGCTGGCTGCCAGGAGGGCTGAAGCCACCAGCCCTGGCGACCGTCCTGCTCTGCTGCTCAGTCCCCAAAGGGTTGCCTGGGCCTGGAGCTACCCTGAGTGTTGGCTACGCTCCTGTCCTGGGGCCCAAGCCTCTGGACGCCCAGGCTCTGGCTCGCTCTGCCCTCTGTTGACGCCTGCACCAGCAGGGCCATCATTTCAAGCCCGCTCCCAAGCCCCCGGTGGCACTTGGCAAGAGTCTCGGCTTTGCTCACCCTGGACGTGGACTTTCCCCCTTGGCCAGAGGTCTAGGGCTGCCCCAGGCCCTGCATGGCTCCCCTAATTATTTTCCTATCCCAGTGACTTGGGGCCTGCGGTCAGAGTGCACCTGGGGGCCCCTGAGATGTCCTCGCCTTCCACAGTCCCCCTCCTTGCATCCACCTCTAGACCTGCTTCCTGAGCAGCCCCCCTTCCCCAGGCTGAGCCCCCACCTCCCCCCACACCCCCACCTTCACACCTCGGCTGCCTACCTCCACTCCAGGGCGGCTCTGGGTCTGGCCCCACTGCCATCTTCCCCCTTGCCCGCTCCCCTAGCTGCTCCCGAGCCTGTCTCCCCTCCAGGCTGAGTCTCCTCTGAGCCAGGTCTGCCCTCCCTGCTCTGCAGGCACGCCACGTTGTCTACCTCTCTGTGCTGGGCTCCTGTGTTCTGTCTCCTCTCTGGGCACGGACACCCCATCCCACTTCCCAGGAGTCCCCAGGCACCTCCGCCTGCACTTCCTCCCTCTTGTCCCCGGCGTTTCTTTCCCCTGTGTGCCCCGCCTGCATGTCCAGCTCCTATTTCTCATATGGGCAGCTGAGGGCAGGCACACCTGGGTCTCCCCTGCCCCCTGCTCCCAGGGCCTTCAGCCCTAGTTCCTCCTTCCATTTCCAAGCTACTTCCTTTGGATAGCTGGGCTCCCTGCCCAGGACCACAAGGCTCCGGCGTGCCGGGTCAGGGCTTAGAGTCCCGTCCTGCTGCTGCAGTGCAGACCTCAGGGCCCTGGGCTGTTGACGTATGACCATGACCAGCACACGGGCGGAGGGGCCTTCTCTGGGTCTGCACAGCGCGCTCCCAGGCCTCCCGTGCCCTCCAGCTGTAGCCAGACCCATGTCCAGCTGGCAGACGGGTAGAAGGCTGTGGTCATGTACACAGGGATGTGAGATCATAGGGTATTCCCACAGTGTCCTCTGTGGTGTGGCAGCGCCAGGTGGCAGCTGGCATCCTGTGCATTGGGGGCCCCAGTGCTGTGGCTGTGGGCTCTGGGCGCCCTCTCCAAGGGGCCTCGGGTAGCGCTTCGCCTCTGGCTCCAGGCTGCATCAGAGACCTTCTGGGAGTCAGAGGGGCAGCTGCCTCAGCCAGGGAGTGCCTGGAGTTGCTTCCAGAAAGAGGTCTTCCCCTCACCTCAACCCTGCACGGCTGATGTGCTGGTCATTGGGCCGTGCCTCCAGGACAGAGGGTCCCTGCAGTGACATACAACCCCACATCATTGCAAGAACACCAGTCACAGGAGCGGAGACCTGAATACCTGTGCCAGTGACCTCAGTTCTGCCCCAGGCCTCACCCCACTACCAAAGGGGCAGAGAACAATTCCCTTGGGTTAAAGGAATGAATGAGGGGTGGGAGCCTGCACGCACAGCCTGGAAGGGAGTGAAGCAGTGTATGTGGGTGAACCCACCAGACCACACTGGGTGTCACAGGCACGCACACTGGGCCCCAGGGCCCCTTGCCCTGTGCCAGGCACGGTCGTGATACAAACTGCCATTGGGTGCCAGTGCCAAGAGGTTGGACCCAGGAGCCTCACAGCCTCTGAGAAGCTGCCGCCGGCCCTCCCTGCACTCACCACTCCGCTCCCTTCACTGCCTGGTGTGAGCTCGCTGGTCACTGGGCCCCGGGCTAGGGCAGGGCTGGACACAGAGGTGGGAGAGCCAGTCGCTCCCAATCCAGTGGGAGAGGTGCAAGCGGCCACTTCACTGTCCCCTCCACCCCAAGCCTGCATGGGCTCCGATGGGGAGGTGGTATAGCGTGGGCCAGGCACAGCCAGGGCGGCGGGGGAAGCAGGCAGAGTACAGTGGCATTGGGGCAGGGCGCCGTCAGAGATGAAGTCGGCTGACACTGGTGGGAGGGGAGCGAGCTGCAGGTGCTGCTGCAGGTAGGGCTGATGACGGGCTGCACTTGGGGAAACAATGGGGCCTCCCTGGGAACCCTGGGCTAAGCAGACACCGTGGCCAGAGGAGCCATCTATGACAGTAAGGGGCCTGTGGACTGCAGGGCACATGTTGGAAACAGATGCCCGGTGCCACAGAGAAAAATCAGCACTGAGACAGAGGATCTCTCAGCAACGTAGTTTTTACTTCCCAGCCTGCAGGGAGGGGACCCTCAGTAGCCATCATGCCACAAGAATACAATGAACAAAGGAAAACAGACAGATTTATCCCTTATGCATTTGGGGTCGTCCCTACTGCTGTGTCTGATCTCTGTTGGCTGGAGCCAGACCTCAACAATCTAAACTAAAACCCAATGGCCAACAACTTAAAACTTTTCTAAACAGGTGAAAGCAGTGGAGATCAAGCCTGTAATCCCAGCACTTTGGGAGGCCGAGGCGGGTGGATCACAAGGTCAAGAGATCGAGACCATCCTGGTCAACATGGTGAAACCCTGTCTCTACTAAAAATACAAAAAATTAGGTGGGCATGGTGGCGCGTGCCTGTAATCCCAGCTACTCAGGAGGCTGAGGCAGGAGAATTGCCTGAACCCAGGAGGCGGAGGTTGCGGTGAGCCGAGATCGCGCCATTGCACTCCAGCCTGGGTAACAAGAGCTGAGTTACTCAGGCTGGAGTGCAATGGAGTTTTCTTGAAACTCCGTCTCAAAAAAAAAAAAGCAATGGAGAGCTGGGA